GGAAGAGACACTTAAAACTAGCTCTCCCTGCTGTGTATCAGTTTGGTAAGCAGTGATATCCTGCTTTGCTTATCTAACAGCATCAACTGATAGAGGCTCCATTTATCATGTACAGAGGAATTATGTCCCCATTTTGTGTAAAGCATCTATGCAGGCAATGGCATATTCAGACTAGGTTACCGTAGTTACTCTACACTCAGACAGAAAAAGCTAAGTGCAACAGTATTTTCCTGATTTCAAATATAATTTTATTCTAATTACTCAATTGGCTTCCATTTCACATTTCTGTTGGTGTTTTTTTGTTTGGTTCATTTGTGTTGTGGGTTTTATTATTATTATTATTATTATTATTATTATTATTATGACCTATGAATCAAAATCCAGATATTTTGGTTGGCTGGTTTTCATTCTTTCATGATGGCTGCTCTGACATTATGTACTTTGAAAATACATATGAGTTCTGTTCAAAGTATATTCAGGTGTGAGAGTTGACATATAGAAAAATCCTCCTGTTGGATAAATTTTAAGTTCATCTAAGGTAATTTTTTTCTTTTTTTACCTTTTAATTTTAACGAAACCGCAAGCCAAGTTCTGTAATCCTTGGGGCTACGGGTACTAATGTTGATGGCCAAGTCTTTAAACATTTTATGATTAGTGAAAATGTATTTGTTATTACAAACCATTTATTAATTCCCTTTTACTTGCCTCACTTTTTTTTAGGTTTTAATTGTGTCCTGCAATCTGCATATCAGTTAACAGCAAAAGCTCTTGGCTGGAAGTGTTGCTTATCTAGGAATTTTAATAAAATGATTGTTCAAAGCAGGAATGATTCTTTTATCTTGAGTTACTTTCACCTTGAGCGACTTTCTTCTCTTATTCCACTTTTCACTTCTTTATATCTATTTTTTGGCTTTGAGTTTGTTGGGGTTTCTTTTTGTCTGTTTGTACTTCACCTGCCTAAGGAATGTGTGGCACTGATTTTTCTTTGCTTGCATATAGGTTTTCTCTTGGTGTACTTTATGTATGTCATTTATATTATGAAAATCTTCTAAATACAGGGTTTAGAGGCCAGCATTGGGGATAATTTTTTTTTCTGGAAAATGAATGTAGCTTGCTCTCTGAAAAAAAAAAAAAGGATATTTGCTAGAGAATACTGTATGTACTTCACTATCAAATATCTTATATTGGTGTTTTGTGCAGTTAGCATCTCAAACACAAATATATGACTATTTTTACTTTTTTCTTTTCTTAGTATAACAATACAGTCTTAAACTTATTTCTAAAATGAATTCCGTAGAGGATTAATACCACTTTTGAAAAATAAATATATTTGCACAATTGAGACTATTAAATACCAGTTGTTCTGTTATTCTTAGTCAATGCAACTACAATTTATAAGATTTAAACATTTCTCAGTAAAACAGTGGAAGATAATGATAATAACATATCCATGCAAGTATTCTTAACTATAATAAAAATGGAGAGATGATTAAAAAGAAACCTACTGTAGAGTTTGATGGGAATAAATTATAGGATCATAGGATCATTTAGGTTGGAAAAGACCTCCAAGTTCATCTGCTAACCTGATCCTGCAAATCCACCACGCCTCTAAGCACCACATCTACAAGACTTTTAAATACCTCCAGGGATGGTGACTCACCCACTTCCCTGGGCAGCCTGTTGCAATTCTTGACAACCCTTTCAGAGAAGAAATTTTTCCTAATATCCAATCTAAACCTCCCTGGTGTGACTTGAGGCCATTTCCCCTTGTCTCACTGCTCATTATCACTTCCATGGTCCTGCTGGCCATACTATGACTAATACAGGCCAGGAAGCCATTGGCCTTCTTGGTCACCTGGGCACACACTGGCTCATGTTCAGCTGGCTGTGGACCAGCACCCCCAGGTCCTTTTCCTTTTGGCAGCTTTCCAGTCACTCTGCCCCCAGCCTGTAGTTGTCAGTTGTGCAGGACCCGGCACTTGGCCTTGTTGAACCTCATACCACTGGCCTCAGCACATCAATCCAGCATGTCTAGATCCCTCTGCAGAGCTTTCCTGCTCTCCAGACGATAAACACTTGTGCCCAACTTGGTGTCATTTGCCAACTGACTGAGGGTGCACTCCATCAGAGAATCACAGAATCATTTAGATTGGAAAAAGACCCCCAAGTCCAACCTTTGAACGATCACCACCAGATCAGCTAGACCATGGCACTAAGTGCCACATCCAGTCATTTCTTGAACACTTCCAGGGATGGTGATTCCACCACTTCCCTGGGTAGTCTGTTCCAATGTTTACAACCCTTTCCATGAAGAAATCTTTCCTGGTGTCCAACCTAAATCTCTTCTGTCACAGCTTGAGGCCACGTGCTCTCATCCTTTCGATAGTTGCCTGGCAGAAGAGACTGACCCCTGCCTTGCTACAGCTTCCTTTCAGGTAGTTGTAGAGAGCAATAAGGTCACCCCCGAGCCTCCTCTTCTCCAGGCTAAACAACCCCACTCCCTCAGCCACTCTTCATAGGTCTTACTCTCCAGACCCTCCACCACCTTCATAGCACTTCTCTGGACATGCTCCAGCACCTCAATGTCATTCTTGAAGTGAGGAGCCCAGAACTGGACACAGTACTCAGGGTGCAGCCTTACCAATGCAAATCTCCTTGTCCATATCACTGATAAATGTATTAAATGGGACTGGCCCCAATATTGAGGCCTGGCAAACCCCACTAGTGTCTGACCACTAGCTGGATGTAATTCCACAGCTGAATGTAACTCCACTCACCACCACTCTCTCAGCCTAGCAATCCAGCCAGTTTTTCACCCAGTGTCCAGTGCACCCATCCAAGCCATGAGCAGCCAGTTCTCCAAGTAAATTTTTTGCATCTTGCACTTCTGCTGTTTCCTTACGAGCATTTCAACAAACTGTATAAGTGAATATCACAATGATTTGGAATCCTGCTTTTGGTCTGAGAGATCTTGAGTTTGTTCAGATGCTGGTGTATTTTTGAAACCACAGTTAATTATTCATGCAGTAAGGTCAGTTCCAGTGCTTTAATGGCACTGATGTGCTTAATATAGTTCCCTCAGACTGTGGACTGGATGCCTCCTGTCTCTACTCATGCAGGTGTGCCACTAGAACTTATGATTCCGGATCTTTCAGTGCCTCTTCTGAGCTTGGGAGCCTCTGTTTCTCCTGAAACTCCCAATGGAGCTGCTCATGAGAACACTCACAGCCCTGCTTTGTTAGGGTGATCTAAATGAGTTTAAGCAGTAAGTATTTGCTGATCCAGCTCATTTTGACAAAAGCCTTTTAGACCATGTTTATGCAAGCAGGCAGATTTAGGAAATAGTATCTAGCAAAGGAGCACTGATGAGCAGCAAAGGCTTGAGCTGGTGAACGTGTCCTTTTTCACTAACATGTGGTTTAAATGCTTTATCTGTCTATCTTCAGTGTAGCTGCAATGCTGCTGATAGTTTTGGGTTGGTGCTGATTAAATTAGTCCTGTAAGAGAAGAAATCAATTAGTACTTCTCTAACAATTTATATTTTACTGTAGCTGTCATTTGAAAGGAGTGCAAAACTCCACACTTGAAAATTATGTAGTTGCTTAAAACAGTGTGTAAACAAAAATTTTAAAGAAGAGTTAAATAACATGATATTTAGCTTCAGACATTCAATGTTTAGTTACTAATACCCAGTTTGTGAACACTTACTACATTTTCAAAACTGGATTTAAATATATAATAAGAATATATTTCGGTATATAAGATCAATGGCAAATTTGTACGGTTGAGTTCTGATTTGTTTGGGGGAGGGGGCATAGTGTTTTATATATCACAATTCAAAAATAAACTGATTGGTTTAGTGGGGGAGAAGAAATTTATTTTCCCATCCTAGGTAATACCTCTAGAATGTTGAAACTGAATCAATGAAATTTTAGGAATACAGTTATGTGTTGGAAAACCAGCCCATGCTATTTTGTTCAAAGCTCAGATTTTTAAATATGCTACTGGATAATGGTAAAAAAAATGCAAAATTCTAAATGTACCTTCTTGGTCATTACTGGTGTTATGGCTTATGTCTGTGTGCTACTAATTAAGTGTTGAGCATCAAAAATCAAGCAATGAGCTTTAAACTATCAACAGTATCTTAAAAAAGTATTTTCTATATGCTTATGTAATATCTTATGGTAAGCTTTAATGATTTGGGTAGCAGTAGAGAAAAAGAAAATGCAAACGTTGTCAACATGTCATAATTTTTAAAGCATAGTTATAAGTTAGAATTTTAAGGGATTCAGAGACTAAAGAGAAGCCACTGTCATTTAGTAGTGCAACATCAGCTATATTTTTATATATGCATTGAGTCTCATTTCAACATTTAAACTGATTTTACAGTAAGTAAAATAAAATGCTTTCCAGTTTTATTAAATGGATTTTTATGCTCTTAAGTTAAACCTTCCTTATTTGCTTCTGTGCATCAGCTGTTATTTGCATTTTTCTTGCAACCACAGTATATATCCTGACCTGCTCAGAATGATTTCCATTAGTTACTTTGAAATTCCATTAAAAATTATCCTGGAGGTAACTTGCAGTTCCTGAGGTTTGGCATATGTTGTTAGAGTTTTTAAGGAAAGAGAGTTTGGAAGATCCAAGTACTGGGAAGCAGCACACTATCCAGAATAAAATAATTCAGTTTGAGGCAAGGAATTGTGTTTATTAGCACATCCATTAAGGTGAAGGTTGGCCTTTTAATTCGGAGTCAAAACTTAGTGTTGAATGATGAATTATACTTGAAAACTTCTTGGAACTAGATGTTGCTTTTAGTTTTGTTTTTTAGAAAACCATTAAGAAATTATTTCAATTCATAGAGAATTAAAGCATGTTTAGTAGCTGCCTGAACCATATTTTCTGGATGTTGATGTTGAATATGACTGTTTTTGAAGTTGAGGTACTTTGAAAATAGATGATGTCAAACCAGAGCCTTCAGGATCATTGGAAAATGCTGCCTGACCATGAACATGTGTATAAGTTTGTACAGGGTTCTGTTTCATACTTATGACCTAAATAGCTGAATCAGTTTTTACACAAGGATTGAAGGAAAGGGGAATAAAATGAAAAACAAGTTAAAAAATACAACAAAAGTTCCGGAAAAATACTCAGAAATCTCCCAAGCCGAGTTGTGCTGTACTTGTGTAAGAAGGATCAGAAAGCAGAGCTTGGGCACATGACCTCAAGCTACTCAGTGCAAATGAGGGAGCATATCCTCAGGTTTTTGGCACAAAGGGTTTCTTGCTGTTCGAAGCATACTATCAGCTAAACCAGTTCTGGATGCAGTGCAAACTTTGGCAGTAGAAGAAATGGTTGGATACTCTCTGAAGATTGAAGGCAATGAGGTAAGATATGGCTTAAAATGAGTTGAAAGTGAAGAATCCATGCTGAGTCAGTCATTTAGATTGTGTTACTATTGCATCGTGTAATTTTTTTCTTTCAAGGTTGTGAAAAGGAAAATAAGTGTATACACATTATCTTGTTCCTCTTAGCTAATGCTGATAAAATGTATTATGCCAGTTTGATGAAAATATTAAATTATTGAAGATACAAGTTTTAACACTTATAAAATCTGTTTTGCTTTGTCTGCATGTTTTTCCCCTTTCTAGGAACAGTGTATTTTTTTTTCCTGCATATAAATGAATGTAACTTTACAAATAATGGAAAATGCTTCTTTATGTTTCAATTTTGTATATGCAAGATGCTGCTAATTGCAAAGGTCTTGACAGTCTGCTCACTGGATTTGTTCTGGGGAGAAAATTTTGAAGTAGTATTTAATGCAAAACAAAGCCATTTGTCTAACAAAAGCCTTGTTTACATGAAGCTGCATGCTCTGAAGAGAATATTGATTAAATTTATATCATTTTATGGTATGATTGTGGCTATTTTGAAATCTGCAAGCCTCACAATACCTTCCTAGGTTTTCCTGCTATAGAAATATATCCCTTATATGTACATAGAAATTAGGATTGATGATACTTTCTCTACTGTAATGCTTGTGGGAGAACTTGAAAAAAGCTTTGTCTCGTAGTATCAGCCATGTACATGCTTAGAATAATTTTTTGTGGTCTGATTTCTTAAGTGGGAAAAGAGTTAAACTGAATCACAGATGAACATCAGATCTGAGCCCCAAGAGCTATGGCATAGAGTACTGAGAATATTTATCTTTGAGGCAAAAATCAGTTTTCAACCTGCATTTTAAATCTAAAATTACATTTTTCTACATCCCTCCAGGCAAACCTTTGTCCTTATATGTGCTTTTCATGGTCTAATTATTCTCTCTTCTGACAAAAAGTTTAAGTTTGACCAAGAAAGCTCTACTTCTACATAGTTTTAGAATAATTTATCTTCTTAAGGACTGTACTGGTAAAAAACTTTTCTTCAAATCTCCTTCCTACTTATCTTTCATAGAGGCTTCCTTTTTTAAGAATTGGTCACTTTTCCTTTTGGGAGTTTTTCATAACTTGGCATGCAAAGACTTCCAAGATGATAAAAGATAGGAATAACAGACAAAAAGATAGAGTTTGAACCTCCTCTTTTTTCCTTTTTTTTTTTTTTAATGCATACATGCATTTTTAAAAGTTAAAAAGAGCTGTTCTTTGTGATAGATTGTTGCAGTAATATTTTATAAAATCTTGCTGATTGGAAACAGATCTTTTTTCTTAAATTGGGTTATTTTCTTAAAATAACATGGATTTATGCTGAGGAACCTAGGACAAGTATTAAGACCTCAGTTTTTACTTTGAAATGGTGTTTGCTAATAAAGAATCCAGCAATTTAGAGGATTTACAAATAGAGATGTAGCTCTGAGTTTGTTTCTCTTGAGATGTAAATAAACTCATAAATACCTGTTTATATTCTGGGATGTTATATGGAAGTTTAAATTTCAGTTTGTTGAATGGAATTATTTCTGTGTTTGTCCAAGATTTTCCTCTTTCTTTCACTACTTATAAATACCACAGAACTGACCATCAAAATGTTTCTCATGGTCCAGAATGTGACAAAGTGTAGAATATATGATGCAGACTGTGTCAAGCCTTTAGCTGTAGCATTCTGTGTTTATGTGTATAACTGTTTACGATTTTGTTGCATTTACTAGGTTTGCTGGGATGGGTAATCTTCTTAAGGTCCTTACCAGGGAAATTGAAAACTATCCACATTTTTTCCTGGATTTTGAAAGTAAGTTCAAACAATTACAAGACAATGAGAGATTCTTTTCCCTGACTTAACAGCAAATTAAGGAAAAACTTTTAATATCTGATTGCTTAGAGTGTGTATTTTCCACCACAACCAATCTGTCCAAGTCCTTGTCTCTAAAATCACTTGTTCACTCAGGACTCCTTTTCTCTTCCTTTTCTATTTTTCAGGAACCAAATGGGAAATCTTTTAAAAGTTCTCACTTGCACAGAGCTTGATCAGGGGCCAAATTTTTTCCTTGACTTTGAAAGTGAGCAAAGCTTCTTGCCTGGCTTGCCTTCTTTGCTTATTATTTCCTAATAAACTGCATGTGCTCATGCATCATAAAGCAATTCAAAAGGGATTTGCAAACAAATCAAATTACACTTCAGTAGAATACTGTTTTTTGATATTTGAAGAACCATACAAAATTCCTTCAATTCATTCTGAGCAGAGAAAGAGACAGAAAGGTAGATATGCAAGTAAAACCTTACCTTCAGTTAAATTCAAAACGTTTATGAGCCATTGTTAAATTTACATATGAGTTAACTCAGCCTCGGCTTTTTTTAACAAATCAGGGTTAAAAAAAAATTATGATTCTTCCTTGAATGGAAATACCTATTTGAAATAAAAAGCTGAAAAAATATAAGCAGTGGCGGTGTAACTATTTTGGTTGGTTCAGTGATGATTTAACTGGGATTATAGTTTCTAAAAAGTAGTGAAGGGGTCAAAGTGTATGCCCTTGATTGCATCTCTCTTAATTGCATGGTTATGAGTTTGCAGAACGGCATTCTAATTTCCTCATCCTGTCTATATTTCATTCAAAGCTGTTTCACTTTTGCTGATTATATTTTCCCTGCATGTACTTCTAGACATTCTCATCAAATCCTTTAATATGGCTTTAATCTTTCTTCACTACATACATGAAATGCTTTTTATTTAAAACACTAACAGTGTGTGATGTTTTGTCTCTTAATACCTCTCTTCTAAAAAAAAATTCAAAAAAAAGTTTTGAGAGAAGCCAGTGTCTTTAAAATAACTTTCTTTTGTAGCATTGGTTTAAGAGAGCATTTTGGGTGTTTAGACACATATTTTATCATCTTGAAACAGTTTTGTTCTTTCATTATTTATTCCTGAATTATTTTTCTGAAAAAAGTAACTGACACATTCTGAGTGTATGTGTGTGTCTGCACTTGGAAGCACTGCTTCAAAGAGTCAGCTAGGGTGTATGACTGTAACTGTGTTCATATCTTCTCATCTAGATCATAATAACCTCATTATGAAGAATCAATTTTAATTGATGAAAAAAAGTTAATTGTTAGTTTGGGTTTAGGACAAGGTACTGTGAGCCATGTATCCCTCCTCCACTGTCTATATCACTTGAAAATTTTATTATCATCCTGAGATGACAAACTTTATCCAAACCACCACTTAATTTTTTTTTTTTAATCAAACTTTTGAAGGCCTGGTGTTCTGTGGCTTTGCCAAGGTACTGCGGAAGTTTTCAGCTGATCCGAGGTTCCAGATTTAATCAGCCCCACTGTGGCCTGGACGATAAGAAAGTGTTCCTGACCCAGGCTGCAGGAAAGAGGTAGTCTGGCAGTGGGAAGCCTTGATAGAGGTAGTGATGAGAGGGGAAAATATCAGGTTTGTTGCCTTGGCAGTGAAGGTTGATTTTTGTTCTAAAGGCACATGTCCAAGGACTGAATGTGTTGAAGTACCTTCTCCCAGGGAAGGTCCAGTGGTCAGTGCACACTAGTCAGGCACAACTACATGCAGAGGAATGAAACTGTCACCTCCAAATTTCCGTGGGTTGGTGCTCATGAGTGGAAGTTTAAAATGTTTTTCCTGTGAAATACAGTCCTGGAGGTTTTTATTGACACAAAATCTGTATTGGGTCAAAGAGGTGTGACTGAAGATGGCTGTGGTTGTGCTTTGTTCTCCTTTAATTCTTACAGTACAAAAGGATGCTCTCAGTGGACACAGTTCAGAGTCTGATGTGTCTGGTGTGTGTGGTGTGTGCTTGCTGGACATGTGACTTTCTGTGGCCTGTGCTGTCAGTTGAGCTCATGGGTGAAAATGGTCACTTCAGTTGGCCATTTGGAGGATGAGGGGTATGCTGAGCTGATTTACTGTATTCATTGTTTGCATCAGCATATTGCTTTCTAGGTTTTGTGCACTTTTTCATTAGGCAGGAGCTTAAATCTCAAAGTAAATATGTCAGCACTGCTTCTGAAATGTTTACAGAGGTTTTGGATTCTCCTACCCTGGCATTTTTTTGCTGTTCTTCATTTGGTATGTATTGTATCTGAAAGGAGGGGGTGTGATGTGCTCCCTGCTACGTATACAACGTGCCACACAAATACTGCTTAAAAAGCAAGAAACAGCCTTCTTTCTCCTACGCAGGGGAAGAACAGATACAATATGTCTACGTGCCTCAAAAAAGCAGAGGCTTTAATGTGTTTATGTAAAGAAAGTGGGAAAATAACGTTAAGGTGTCAACTTCATTTGACAGTTGATTTAATCTGTGCTGTTCCCAAAGGGGTCATCCCATGGGTGATGGTTGGCCACATGGTCTCATATCCTTGTGCTAGAATTGAGATGAACAAACACATGATTACACTCATCATGAAGGACAGCTGTGTGGGAAAATTAACTTACTAAGAACTAGACCCCACCAAATTACCACTTTACCTCTCTCCCCCACCTACTAAGTACTCGTCCAGTCAGGTCAGGGTGATGAGGATGATGGTGTGGTTGGAGGAGCCCTAGCAGTGGCACATGGATAGGAACAGAAATGCAGGAGAGGATGGCAAGCACTTGTTTGGATTTAGATTTATTTATGGTTTGGATTTTATTTATTATAGATAACCTATGTCAATATAGTAGCTTTTTATTCTGTTATTTTCCCTTATTATCCTTAACTAATACATTTTAGAGGCAAGGATGAGTTGTTCTGTGCAACAAAAATTAATTTATTTTCTTGTTAGTTGCTCTTCCCCAGAGCAAAATTCTGTTTTGCTGAAAAATTTGAGGAGAACAATCTTGTATTGCATCTTTTGAAAAATTCCATTATGGGTTTTTGTTTGTTTAAAATATACTTAGTGGCAAGTTGCTTTTCATCAGCTGCGTGCTCACTCTGCTCTTGCATATTTTTCACCAGACTGATTTTTTCATATCTAACCTTTCAGCATCTGTTCTATGAAATTCTTGAGGTCTTGAAAAATGGGCAGGTAGAAACAGGAACACTTAGAAAAATTAAGTTTTTTCAATGTATTCTGTTACTTTTTCAAACTCTGCCTTGTGCTATATTTGAAAATGGGAAGGAATCATGAAAAAAAAAGAAGTAAGTTTCAAAATTTCACCTTCCATTTTTTGTTGTTGGTTTTTTGTTTTGTTTTTTTTTTTATTTTTAATAGCTATTTTAATTTTTCCCTAGAAAAGTTTAGGTTAAAAAAAAAAAAGGTTTAAAATCATCTCTTTTCCACTGTTTTCCTGCAGCTGTCCACATCATCAGTTGTAATTCCTTTTGACACCTGTTGCTTACATTATTCTTCAATCCAAACTGGGAATCAGGTTTTGTAACTCCATGGTCATACTTGAAAAAAACTTGAATCCAGCATTAATCGTAGTTAATCTTGTATAGCAAAAGCAATTCTGTTTGCTCCCCAGTATTAATTTTAGAGTTAGGCAGTTACTCTGGATCTGTGCAAGAAGCAATCTGAAGAAACATTAATCCAGCCTTGAAAGCAAATGAGAAATGGGAATTGTGGGCATGTGGGGAATAGTGTTCTCCTATGCAGGTGGAAAAGCCTTTTCATTGAGGTGAATTGCAAACTATATATATTTAGCCAAATTACTCTTTTAAAGGTCTACTGAAAGGTTTACATAAAGAAAAAGAATTTCATACTTCTCGGAAAGTGCACTGTATGGCTGTTTTATACTGGGATCTTGGTGTGGGTATTTTTAATCAAACTGCTGCCTATTGGATTTGATTATATACCACTTACTTTACCTTAAGTTCTTCTTAGCTCTGAACTTGAAAAATAACGTTAGGAAGAGAGAGTGCCTGGCAGGTCTTGAGAGTCCTAGATTTCAGGATTTCACAAGCCCACAGGGTGAATTCTCTTGAAATGGATTTTGTCAGTTTATGAACTGTTTTGTTCTTTAGATGTTGACCTTATTTAAATTAGTCACAGATAAATGAATTCTGGGTATTTGAGCTCTTTGCATAGCAGCTTACAATTGCTCTTTTTTGCAGAAAATCTATTGTCAAATTACTGCTGCCTTTTTCAGGCAGAGTAAACAAATAATTCCACATGAATTCTTGGAAATAATTTGGAGTTTGAGGCAACAACAATTTATTTTGAACCTAAAAGACTAAAGCTTATAGATTATTGAGAGGAGGTGTCCTTAAGGGACATCTACAGTCCCATCCTCTCCTCAAATACCTTTTATAAGACCAAACTCTCTAACCTTAATGTGAGCAGGCTCCTTTTTTTCTTAAATGTTAGCTGGGTGGGCTTGTTACCTGATCCTAATTTAATCTCTCTCATAGCCCCCATGATTCTTATTTTCTAAGATTCCCCCCCATCCCCAGAACGATTAATGAAATTTTCAGTTATTGTTCATGTATGATTAAAAGGGTCTATTATTAGCACATGTCTGGCAGCAAAACAACTGCCCACTTTTCACATAGTAGGATATTAATTAATACCCTTACTGCACAGGCAGCAAGGCTGGGGATATGATCTGGACCCAGCCTGCAGGAAGTTACACTCACCTCCTGTGCAGAATGCCCTAAGCAGGAGCTACAGCTCAGCTGAGAGGCTGGGTGTCCATTCATGTCCACCACAGAGCTGAGCCCAGTGCTGACATCCTTGGCACAGCACTCTGCCTGTAGGATAAAATTCAAAAACCCATTGTAGCCTGGGTAGGGTACTGGTGCTGTCCAGTACTAGGGTTTTTTAATATATGGAGTATAGCAGGTTCTGGCACCCTCTAAAGTGCATTACTCACTGTAATTGTAATGCCTTTGCTCTTTTCTAGGAGTTTTTCATCTAATTTTGTGCCAAATTGGCATGGAAAAAAAATATTGTCATGGTTACAAACTTGAAATAGGACTTTAGCATTATGCAGTTAAATATGTGTACTGCTCTCTTAACTGGCTGGCTGATGGAATTATTGGCCACCTTCAGCAGATGACATGAAAAGCTGAAAGCAGAGCCTGTGAGAGCTCTTGTTTAACTCGCTTACTTTTGCTATGGTATTGAGGCCAGAAGGGTATGGTATTTTTATGACAAATATGATTCCATATTCACTGAAATGGAAGCACTAACCATCCTCAGTGGGAATCTTCTTAACCACCTGAGAGTGGAATAAACTTCTGAGCTTTTAGTCTGCGTTTCAGATTGAGAAAGGGGGTGTGAGTTTGAAGTGCTTCTTTTAGTACTGTTTTGTTATCTCTTCATTAAAATTAATTACTGAGATACCATTATCCTTCATTTTTTATTGATAAAGGCTTCATATCCTTTCTATATTTAATCTGGTCCTATGAGTACTACTGTCTTACCTCCCTAGCAGTTTCTAATGCACATTTGGTGAAGGATGAGATAGATACCTTGTGCTGCTGGAGGGGTTTTCTGAAACAAGTGACAGTTATTTTTCTAAGAAAATAATGAAGATCCCACTTTCATGCCTGAAAGTAAGTATTTCATTCACCTGAAATACTTAATGCATCCACAAATGGATTGTGTTGGATCCAGCTTTCCTCCTTGTTTTTATGAAGTGCAAAGTGCCATCCAAAACATGGTACAGACCATGCATAAAGGTGAAAGAGAGCATGTGTTCATGGAAGGGATGAATTATCATGTCCAGGTTATTTCTGATGGAGCCAATAGAACTGCATTTCTCTCCAGAGCTAAAATTTTGAGATTTTGCTGATAGAATCTGTATATGGAAGATTCAAGCCTCCACTAGGATTCATGTAGTTGTTGGGTTTAGGGTTCACATTAGAAATATTTGGCCAAAGGGAGATAAAGGGGCTTTCTATTTTGTCTTATTAAAGACAGCATGCTCTGAATGCTACTCATGAGTACTCCAAAAACTCAGACTTGAAATCAAAGTCTGGTCATTATGGTAGCTTATTACTAAGAAGGCCTGCATCCAGCATGAGTTAGTCAGTGGCAGTGGTTTTATTTATAAATGGGCTCAGATTGCTTAAGTGTGCACTGGTTCTGTGGTGGCATGAGGATAAGTGGTGAGCGCTGCCAGGCGGTGATCCCATACAGTAAGTCAGGACTGGTATTTTTTAGTTCAGAACAGAGAAACAGGCTTTGGTATCATTGGAATGGAAAGCCGGTTTTAAAAGCCAAAATCTGCCATGAGGTCTCTGTTCCTTTTAGTTCTTGTTGCTGTTTTTATTGTTGTTGTTGACAGTAGGATAAAATTGTTTTCAAAGTGATCCACTGAAGTTAATTTAGCTGACCATTTTTGGCAGGATCTTCATGTAAAATCCCTTTTGAAACATGGCCACGGTCTTTTCAGAACATCTGTTTGCATAACATGTATTTCATAAATAAGGTGCATGTTTTTTTTTAAAAGCCTGAATCATCCTCCCTACCTTTATTTTTAAGCTAAACATTTCCAGCATAAATATAAACAGCTTCTGCAAATGCAAGCTAAGCCTGTTGCTCTGTAGCCTTTGCAGCCCTATTCTTCTCCCTTCTCTTTCTTTCCCATCTCCCACACACCTGCCTTCCTCTTGCTCCTACTTCCCCAGGTGCTGTGATACTACAGAAAGCTCAATGAGTTTCAAATATTCCTCCTTCCCCAACTCCAAAAGATAAATTTGAAAAATATTTACAATAAAGGGTGTAACTAAAGGCATTTTGAAGTCCAAAAGTGCTGAGCAATGTGTAGCATTTACATCCCTCTTAGGCACTAATTTTTTTTAAGCAAAGAAATTGTGAAAAGTAACATAAAAGTACTTTATTAACCAACAAGGTTAACAACATGCTTCACATGCAAATTTCACATTCATGAACTGCATTATCAAGTTATTTTTCTCTTTGGTGTTAGTATTCACTGAAAATGTTATTTTAATTAACTTTTATTTAACTATTAAAATATAGATACTGATTTATGTGCAACTCTTACCTTTCCCTACTCTGTTGTTATATGATTGGTAGCTACTTAGCAAGATCACCGCTTTCCTCATTAAATTCAGAAGGGTTTTCTGTTTTGCTTGTTTATCACAAGGTGACAGACCCCTTCGAGTGTATACCTGAGATTTCTTGCAGCTTGAGGAAAGAAGCAGTCTGGAACACTGTAAACTTATTGTAACTGATAGACTGTTTCAACATCCATGTCCCAGATGGGATTTTCCTGTGAGGTTTTTCCCTTTAATGCTACTTTCCCTCACTTTTTGAAAGATAATGGAATTTTTTAGTCACGTGAAGTATTTTGGCTATGAAACCCAGCTAAGTAAGCCCAGCTTATGTTTGCTTTCACTTTTTAAATAAGATTAAGGAAAACTTCCAGAATAAAAGGAAAGTCAAATCAATGTTGTTTTATGTTGCCAGTCTCATGGGACTCATGATGCCATAAGAATATAGGAAAGATTTTAAGTGCTAGTTGCTTCAGAGCTACAGACATGTAAATCTCAGCCATTTGTGTCCCCTTCATGCAAGGTCCATAGATAACTTGAAACATCTAAACAAATTATCCTCACCTGAAACATCATGGAGAGGGTGACTGTTCTTTCCATACACTCCAATGTGAACTTGGTTCATTTGCTTCTGATGGGGGCTGGGTAAATCAATCCTGTACTGATACATGGGTATAAAAATGTGTCTGTTGTCTTAAGAAGAGTGATAAGACTAAACAGAAAAAGTATTTTTAATAATTCTTGTCTACTAATATAGAGATGTGTACTGTAGCTCGTCTTAACTGATGAGTTTTGAAGTTATCTCGTTCTTTTTAATTCAAACAAATAGTCACTAAGTTCTAAGATTCACCTTCAAAGTAATTTTTTCCTTCCCTAAAAATTAAAATTCTATCTTTACAAGCTAATACAAAACTAAGTAAAAAAAAAATAGTTGTATCTCTGTAGAAATCTACTGGGGCAATGTCATTGCAATCCCATATATAAGTCATCTAGTCTTTGGTCAGTGCTTGTCATCTTTATGTTTTAAAGCAAGAGAAGACTTGTCTAACATGCCTATGTTCTGGTCATAACATCACTCCTTGGTGTCACATTGCTGTGTAAATCCCATAGGATTAGATTTGAATGGGAAAATTGATCTACTTTCAAATGTCATTTCTCTGAACAATAAAGGTCTACAGGTCACTCCCACCCTGAAAACTGATTATTGGCAGATCTGGATTTATTTTAGTGGCAGAAATGATCTCTGGCATACTGAGAAAAAATGTATTTTTAACAGTAGCGTATCTGTGTTTTACAAAAGGAGAAATAAATTACCCTAGTTAAGGAAACCTGGAGCAAAGTCAAAGTGGAGTAATATCCCACTGCTCCGACCATTGAAAGGCCTGATTTTATCCCCAAGCTGCAAGAAAAGTGAACAATTCTTTGTAATTGAGCTGTGGAGCTCATAAAAGAGAGGGACTGATGCGTTATCCTATTTTCTAATAACATTGCTTTATGATACTGCTGCTCTTTAAAATGCTGCATTTTGAGAAGAGGCATTATGAGCCAGAGCATACAAAAACTGTACTATTTTTCCTTCCTTGCTATAAAAAGCAGAGACTTGGATGTTAGCAGAATGGCAGTGCAGTATAATTGTATATTTAAAAAAATCTACATCAGTATGGAGTTACTCATAGTCAAGCTGGATATAGTGTTAAGTAGAACTGAGTAATCTTGCCATTTGTATTGCAGCTTCCTTTTAACTTTGTGCATTTTGCTTTTCTGTTTCTTAGATGCACAGCCCACAGATGGAGAAAGGGAGGTATGGAATCAGATCAGTGCAGTTTTACAGGACTCGGAAAGTATGCTTGCAGACCTTCAGGCTTACAAAGGAGCAGGACAAGAAATTAGAGATGTATGTTTGTTAATGAGAGTTCTTTGGAAGCAAAATCAAGCAAAACTCAATGTGTCCCTAGCTTCTGTTCTCTATCCAAGGACATTGAATGAATTTATATGAAAGTCTCATTAAAATTGTATTTATAAAATACGTTACAGATTATGCATAATATTCAATATAAATACCTAATGTGAAGTCATTAAATGATGTCTGTTGGAAATTCTTTTGGATTTTCTGTTAGTAATTAGTAATTATTTTTCACTTTAAGAAACACCATTTTATATACCCTGTTTCATGTATCTCCTAGTAGAGAAGTTGAGGACATAGAAGAAATAATACTTGGATGTTAGAAACACATGACAAAAGTATTTGTTCTTCTATGTAAGTGGAATAATGAACCACAGTAAATTTTAACCTTACATCCACTTTTTTCTGTGAAACTGGTCCTGAAGTACAGTTTTGAACTGTAACTTACAATTTTTCCTCAGGTGACCAAACCTTTTCCTGCATCAGCTTTGCAGTTACTGTTACTGTGAGCTGTTGATTACTTAAGAACTTCAAATGTTGAAGATCTCAAAATCATCAAAACCTTGAATAAAAGGCTACTTCTGTAACCAGTAGTCATATAAAAGGCTTTTTACCTGGTGCTTTTACAATAGTTCTGTTCCTAAGAGAATACACTAGAGCATGTTTCCCTATGTCAGTGGTGCACTGTAATGAATGATTTTAAATCGGTATGTTACAGGGGGACAGGGAAGGTGGAAAACATGGTATTTTTTTTAATTATTAATTTTCTGTTCCTATGTAATATAATTTCTCAGAATTGTTCTGTTTTACAATACTTTCTTTCTAAAATAATGTAGAAAAATTACAGACTGCCTTTTGCTTGTTATTTGTTTATCACAGTTCTTTACAGTAATATTTTCATTTCAGGCAATACAAAATCCCAATGATATCCAGTTGCAAGAAAAAGCATGGAATTCAGTCTGTCCTCTGGTTGTAAGGCTGAAGCGCTTTTATGAGTTTTCACTCAGATTAGGTGAGCCCTGTTTTAGTATGTTTGTTTAATAGGTTATTTATATATAGCAAAATAGAAACTTTCTTTATACACAGACTTTTAAAGAATTAATATTCTTTCTGTTTGATATCAGCAGACATTTAACTGCATTACATTTGTCAAGGCATATTTTTAATCTTAATTTAACTTTGTCATCTCTATAAACACAAAAAATTATATAATTGCTCTTTGAATTAAGACTCTGGAAGAGAAAAAGTTTGCAAGAGTATATGTATGAAGTGGAAGAGCTCCCAATGCAAGGGAATTCTACAGCATCCTGCTAACTAAGTCTTTCACTTTTTGAGTTATGCTGGTAATTATAGCCACAAGAGCTGATTTATATTACTATCAGTGCCTAGGAGTACACTTTTAGTAACAGAGATGCCAGAATAATCTATACTGAGCTGATGGCTAATTGGGGAAGATGAAAGAGAAAGAGTTGAATATCTTGAATGAATATAAGAGTTGAATGCAAGAAAAATACTTCCTCTAGAATTCTTGATAGGGATCCCAGATAAAGGGAAAAGAGCTCAGTGATACAAAATGGAGAGAAAATGGCAGAGCCTGAAGAGGCAGGTGTCTTTGACTAATGTTTCTCACTTTAGGATAGTAAGAAAAAGCATTTCTGTTAGGGCTCTGCATGTTCAGAGGGTTCCTTCCCTTCAAAAGTAGTATATTTAGATATGCACTTAAAACTTTGTCATAATGTGGACTGATTAGAATTTGTGCTTCTGATTTTATATTCAGAGAAAGCTCTGCAGAGCTTACTGGAATCATTGACCTGCCCTCCTTACACTCCGACTCAGCACCTGGAACGGGAACAGGCTCTAGCAAAAGAGTTTGCAGAAATATTACATTTTACTCTTCGTTTTGATGAACTTAAGGTTAATAAAATCTTTTAATACATTTTGATTTTGCCATGTGTTTTGAACCAAAACTGATTATTTCCTATTTGTCTTCTTGAAAGATGAGAAACCCAGCAATTCAGAACGACTTCAGTTATTACAGGCGGACAATAAGTCGCAACAGAATAAACAACATGCATGTAAGTAAATAAACTCTGATCTGCTGCTCACACTGAGGTATTTATCAGGATACATTTATGCCATTTATAGTAAAGTTTTTGCTTTTGATTCGCTAGCTGTCGTGTTCTCTCCTTCACACTGAGAGTTAATCAGCAGTCCGGATGAAGTGATTAGAGTGGAACTATTCATGCAACAATCTGCTTGCTGACATGAACATGTACTGTATCTTTTTCTTGCTGCTGGCAAGATTTTAAAGAGCTTTACTGACTGTTTTTTCTCCTGTTTTCATCAGCTAGACATTGAGAATGAAGTGAACAATGAAATGGCCAATAGGATGTCCCTGTTTTATGCAGAAGCCACACCAATGCTGAAGACACTCAGTAATGCAACGACACATTTTGTATCAGAAGTAGGTAATGGGGGAGAAAGGTCTAACACAGGCATCCTTGATTTTAATTTTGCATGATGGTTTACTGAACATGGACTTCTTTTTTCACCTTCCAGAACAAAACATTACCAATTGAAAATACGACGGATTGTCTAAGCACTATGGCCAGTGTATGTAAAGTCATGTTGGAAACACCGTAAGTTTTATCTTAAATCTTGGGGGTTTTGTATGAGAGAAACCTGTATTGTATTTTAAGTTGCCACCTGGAGCACCTCAGTTTTTTCCAATAAAATCTGTATCTTTGCCTTAAGTTGTTACCACTTTTTGTACACAAAGCACAACCTGGTATTAGAAAGCCTTGCCTCCTATTTTAACCACCTTATGATGTTTTTCGTGAATCAGCATTGAGTTTTGTTCGAGGGAGCTTACATGGTCAGCCTGCATTTCAACAAAAGGTTAAAATATGAGTGGAATCTCATGCACTCATAGGCTTCAGTGTCCGTGTCTTGTCTAGCCTGGCCCATAGGCCAACTGCTACCCCCTGTTTGCCCGTGCTGCTCAATTATTAGCACACAGAGGCAAGATTTTGGCTCTTCCACGCAGAGCTGTAGCAAATGATACACAAGGACTATTTCAAGGATCATTGAAGTAGATATTTTTTTGGATGCAACCATCTTATTCTAGGTATGAAAAAATTCAACTGTATGATTTTTTCATTCATATGAATGTATTCAGCTATACAGTTGTGTTCATATCTACTGGTGTAGATAATAGCCAGTGGGGTTGTTTATTATTGTTTTGCTGTGCATTTAGCAGAGTGTTTTTTAGGTTAGATGTCTCTTTAGTGGAAAACACATACCAGATAGAGCCAAAGTAGAGTTTTCTGCCTTTGAATCATTTGCTCATGGTGCCATGGAAAAGGCAGAATTTCTGAGGTTTGTTTATGAAAATTCTGGAGAAGTATATGTTGGGGCAGGACTCATCTCACAATCCCAGGACATCGTAGGAGTAGTAATTGAAAAGTAGCCTTATGTGTCAGCTCTTTTTTTGGCCAAAGAAGAGAAACAAAGTTGTGAGTCATCTGCTAGAAGATTATCTGATATTTAATTCTAATTTTGGGATAATCAAGCATTATCACATCAAAATGTCTGTAGCCTTTAAATCTGTTCATGTTATGATGCTGTGTAAGAATAAAAGTTCAAATTGGAAACTGAGAGGTACTGTAGTACAGATTTTAATATTTTTTAATGTCATTTAAGTGAAAAAATCAGGTTTTGTATTGAAAATAAATTGATATTTATATTGAAATATTTCTACATATTATTTATATTTATAAATTAATTTATATTGAAATGAATTTTCTGTTGAAATTAATGACACTAAACAAATCTATGTATTATCTACTCAAAATAATATTTGTTAGAATAAATATGATAATTTCTTTTTTTCCCAGTTTCTATTTTTCTCTGCTGCAGTTCATTTTTCATTTCCTGACAATGGTTTCAGGGATTACAGCCTAGAGGGGCTGTCTTAACAGTGCCATCCATACTCTTATGAAAAGTCAGAGAAAAACTCTGGAATTAATTCAGACGAGTCCTCTCTAGTGGTACTTCATACTGAGACTCCAGTGTGTTGGGTCTCTGAAATTAAACAGAAGTATGATCAGTCTCCATCATATTTCATGAAGTTTTCTGTGAAGTTATCATCACGTACATTTTGTGAAGTGAGGATCTCAGCTGTGCATGAGTATTAGCAGAGGTTTACATCTCTCTGTTTGCTTTCTAACCATTCTTCTAAATTGACAAGGGCTTATGATACTCAAAGATCTTTGAAGTCTTACTAAGGTGCATCTTCAGCCTTAAAATACACTTTTGGTTCAGATTTCATGCACTCACTGTCTAATTTTTTTAAATTGCCTAGTAAAAGTCAAGACTGTTTGTTTTCTTTTGTTCTGTTTTCCAGAGAGTATAGGAGTAGATTCACCAGTGAAGAGACCCTTATGTTCTGCATGCGAGTAATGGTGGGAGTTATTATTCTGTATGATCACGTTCATCCTGTGGGAGCTTTCTCAAAGACATCAAAGATTGATGTAAGAGATGCTTTTCTTTAATACTCTGTAGGTTTGGGAATACTAGTCTGCAACTCTCTTTCAGCACAAGCTTATGACTTGGTACAAATAATTTTAATTCCTTTTGGATGGCAAAATTTAGAATTTGTCTTCACCTGTGTACTTTAATACATCAGTTTGTTTGAAAGTAAAATAAGGATCAACTTTTTTTCTTTGCATTTTCTTACAGATACAGATAATAATTTTTTTTTGTTAGCTCTGCTTTCTTGCCAAGTGTATAGTTACAGTAAAATAATTTTTTATTACATCTACCCGGGAATATGGTCCATGGTCATAATTTTTTTTAATCATGTATTTTATTGACCCTGAAATGCTCTTTTTGGCAGTAGTTCTCTTGTAAATAAGTAGATATTCAACATTGTCTCTGCTTTGTGTGAGATCTGAAGTAGCAGAACTGAAATGTTACTGTTGTAATGCTGATAATGATCCTTCAGTTTTAGCATTAGCATGGCCAGTCACAGGGAAATCAACCTTATTTTTCCATTTGAAAAATTGCAAGCACACATAAAAAAAGCACTCTTATTTTTTTCTATATGTTTTTACAAACCTAAATCTTATGCATGACGTCTTTCATCAGAAATAATCTCTTATTCATGAAAAAAGATGCCAAGTCTTTCCCTTTACAAGACAACTCGCTTCAAAAGAAAAGAAAAAACATATATATTATTGCCCTCCATGACCCTGGGTCTTCATTAGCATTTTGCATCTGCAGATACCAGTGTTTTGCCACATCTCCTCTTTGACTCTATGCAGAGGGAAAGATGTGTCACAGAGAGGTGAATTGATCTGCTCAAGGTCATGAAGCAGATGGAGAGTGGGACTTGAATGCAGATTTCCTGACTGCCAGTTCAGTTTCTTGCCTACAGAGATAACAAAAGTGAAATTTTGATAGGACCAAATATACAGTGTGTGTACTTTGTTTTTCACATTTATCCTAAAGCCCTGTAATCTTACAGTAAAGTTATGGAGAGGCAAATGGGAAGCGGGAGATGGATGACTCAGGTTTTTTTTAATGACTACATGGTCCTAAATCTTCACTAAAACTAATTAGTTTAGTGATTCTTCTCAAATTAAAACATCTTCTAATACTTCAGATGATGAGTTTGTTTTACTGTGGAAAACAGTTCTTTTCTCCCACTTCTTGGGAGCCATTTCAAGAGAATTTCAGGGACAGTGGAGTATATTACCCTTTCCTTACTCTTTCAAAACTGGAGGCTGTATTTCAAGATGTTAATTACGGGCTCCTAGCTTAGGCAGCCTGATAGCTTCTCTTTTTGACTGTTCTAGGGATTCTGATTCTAACAAAAACGAAAAAGAACTGTTTGAATTTTCATCCCCTTTGAGGGGGATCTGAGAGGACATGTACACCTCTACTGAGTGATGTGCATATAGTCTTGAGTGTCGCTGGTTTGGGAACAGTAGCGGTGTCACTTCAAAACATGTGGTGCTACCCAGAGAGTTTCATCTGATCTGCTATTTGCAAAGCTGATTATGCTTTCCAGGTAGAAATGAACCAACTGAGCAATAATCAGTGTCTGTTAGGCTGGTCACTGCCAAGGAGGCTGAACTACTTTGCTGAGTAATTTTTGTTGGCAAATAAATGGACCCTGACTTCAGTTAAGTTTTTCATCAACCACTTCCTTAATAAGGCAGAGGTGCCTTTTAACTACAAAGAAAATACTGGTGCATAGATTTAGCACTCTAACGTGACCTGGAAAATTAGAAGATTCAGATCTTGAGTCAACCATGCCTTTATCTGTCATTTTGAATAAGATAGAATTCATCTAGACTAATTTCTGGATACCTTTATTAGATGTCTTCATAGCAGTGGGAAGAAATAGGTACTTCTGGGGCATAATTCATTACATATAAAAGTGTATTCTGAATAGGTTAGAGAGATTTCTTGTTTCTCTCTATTGAATAGATAGGGAGTCTGTAGAGTGGGTCAAATGAGTTCTACCCCTGCTTTCTCTGCTTCATTTCCCTTTTTGTAAATTTGGACAGAGTTTCAGCCTGTTTTTTGCAGTCTCTACAAAGATGTTCATCCAGTGTAGTGTTTAAAGTCAACATCATGGACTTCTTATCTCAGATTAAATTTGTAACCCCTTGTTATGAAAATAATCATAAGATGTCACCAGTTAAATTTACAACTAAAAACTGAATACTGAAAATTACTTCCTTGTCTTCAAAAATAAAAATAAAAGTCGAAGTTAAAACATCTCTTCTAATAGTTGCTAACAACGAGATGGAACTCCCCAAATCTTTTTTTTTTTTAACTTGTATCAACTGTTCTTAATTTTTTTTTCTAACTTGGAATTGGAGAAATCATATTCAAGTGAAAATATATATATACTTGATATGTAATTTACTCTCTACAAATGCTTATTAAAGGAGATGTTTTCTCCAAAGTTGGGTTTTTAACTTAGATATAATTGTTAATAAGTTTTAATGCTTTTATTGTGTCATATAAAGCAGCATTAACACTCAGTAGGAAAAAAACCCTGCCTGTCTATGGTGAAATTTTTCCTTGTTTTCAGCTAGTGCAGTTCATATATTATTGTTCAATAGTGGCATGCTTCTGTTCCCAGATGAAGGGATGCATAAAAGTTTTAAAGGAACAACCACCTGACACTGTGGAAGGACTTCTGAATGCTCTCAGGTATGTATGGAATAATTGTGTGATTCAGCCTTAGAAAGTTCTCTCTTTATAATTAAGACTCTTCACCTTAGAAACTTGATTTATTAAGATTGTCCTTTGAGGTTTGCCTTCGTTACCTGGAGTTTTCTTAAGTAGCATTCATTTCTCTCAGTTTCATTTCAGTTGGATAAGCAAGGATTATAAATATTGTCAACAGTGTATCTAAGCTAAGATTTGTTATATAAAATGCCCCAGCAACTAGAACATTTTAGAAGCCAAGTGTAGGATTTCTATTTCTCAAACTTGGAAAAAAAACCAATAAAGCTCTTCAGTCTTCCCAGGACATTTAAGAAAGCTGCTTTAAGTAATAGATTATGCCAAAAGTTAGTCTGGATTCCTAAGTGCTTTTAATATTTACCATATTTCTTATGTCTTTCCATGATTTTGCTTCTTTTGAGGCTTTTAACTGGGAAAAAAAAAGGGAGATAATTTTGACCCAAATTATGACAGTGTTGTAGGCGGGTAGCAAACAGAATTTAGCCACAATTCTCCATCTTTTAGAAGGGAATAATTTATTGCAAAGAGTGTTTAGAAGATGAAGAGCACCAGACTATTACCAGTTAAATTCCGGTGAAACATGTAAATTCCTCCTTTGTGAAACTAAACTGTGCTGATTTCAAAAAGGGGCTTCAAGTTTTCAGACTTCCCTAATGCCCATTCATTTTATAAAATATTGTTTTAACTTGTAATTTCTAGGTTCACTACAAAACACCTGAATGATGAATCTACTTCAAAACAAATTCGAGCTATGCTGCAGTAGTATCCTGAGACAAGTAGATGTTTGTATTGATCACAGAAGATGTGTATGTTTACATAATTTAATACAGTTTGATGTTAATACTTGTGTGTATTTACATAACCATTTTCTTCACATTGCTAAAAATATATGAATCTGTTCATAACCTGACTGACTTCATATAGTGCAACCTGTTTTTATGCTAGGCTTTGTCTTCTGACCTTTAAAATACTTTTTTACTTAGATACTTCAGTTATGACAGTTTATCTGTGCATTTTAATCCTTAAACACCTTCTCTATCAGAGAATTAAGTAGTAGTGAAGACAAAATGGAAATCAAATAAACTGAAATGTCAAAGGTACCACAAAAAAGGAACTTTGAAGAAGGAGAAAGTTAACAAGAGGGAAAGGAAAATTCATTGGATGTGTTATAAGAACATGTGCATAGTTTTTTGGTCAGTTTTAGGATCTCATCAATCTACTATGAATAGGACAATACCTGAATGTTCATCACTCTCATAAAACACATTGTCTTTCCTGTAATAAGTGGAGATCCACCTAATTTTAAGAATTATGTGGTGGCTGTCATCCAAAAATGTATTGCAAAGAGATAATTTTACCTTTTTAATTAAGTATAATGTACCTTTCAACAATTGAGGAAATTAATATCCTTTTTCAGATTCAATATAAATAAACAGAAAATGTGTTTAAAGACCATTGATAAATTTTGAAAAGTCTGAATAATTTTATTAGATTTAGAAAGAAAAGGGAAAATACTAATGCCTTGACTTAACTGGACAGAGTTTGTCAGTGTAAATTTATCAGAATGAACATTAGCTCTTTGGCAGCTCTAGCTGGTAAGTAATTTTTTTGCTGATCTAAACTGGGACACTCTTCTGTAGCAGCAAATTTCCCTAGTGTCAAATTGGCCTCATCAAACTAGGGATGATATAAATTTAAGAGCTGAGCTGTTCTTAGGAACTCAAGTTCCTTACAATGTTATTCATTAGATGATTCAGAGTCAACACAGAAATATTTGTCAGCTGACTGCTCTTCATTGGTTTTTGAGATGTGATTGATACTTCAAGGAGTTGAGTTCCTTGCTGCGTTGTTTGTTCTTACTTTCTAGTAAATTTTCCAGTAAATGGAATAGAAATACTTTGCCAAAAGCAGCAAAGTGCTCATGCTCTGTTAAGTGTGTGTCTTCTGGGTGGTCTGCAGTTGCTGTACATATTTTTGCAGAGGTCACGTTCTGAAAATGTGTTTGATTTTGTGTACTTTGCTTGCATTATATGTGTGAAAACTCCAGTGCTTGTGCACAGATTCAGATTTACATTTGCTTATTCCTGTGTACATATATCAGGGTTTGTATGCTTTCACTGGAATTTTCATGCATATCACTTCTAAAAACATTACCTTAAGACTTTGAAGATGCATTTGGTCTGCTGAAACTTGGCTGCGCTGTGACAAATTGTATCATTGAACTCAGTTCTTAAACAGTATTAATATCACAAGTTCTCTGGAATAGGGATTGACTTAAGAGTTTATTTCTGAGCAGAACAACCACTATAATGTTTCTCAGACCTGATCAGAACCCACAGGTGCCAACATCATACATGTGGTGATACTGGACAGCACCACATCTCCAGCATTCCTGTCACACGCCTGCGGTTGCAGCAGCCGATCACTGTGTTGTCGGGAACAGAATTAGAACTCACATTAGTTTTTGTTGGTTCTTTTTTCTGGAAGCAATGATCACACTGTTTTTTCCCAGTAGTAAATCCACTGTTTACAAGCTCCATTTTTAATGAGAGGACATTTAAAAAGGTATATTAGAGAAAATCCTGCTTTGTTCATAGTCACTTCCAGTTAGGTGAATCTAGGTGGATGACAGACCATTCTGTTGAGCTTTGAAGTTAATACATGCTTACCTGCAATTATTTGTCAAACAATGAAGTCTTCTCTTTAAGTAGCCCAGAGAAAAGCTATTTGTCACTTGTATAATAAAAGTGTAAACCTTAAATCATTCCGTGAGTTGTCATGTGCTGTTTGCTGAAGTCACAGAATTTCTTTGCCTGCTTTGATGTTTTTGTACAGAAGTTTGTTTGGAATAATAAAAAGTTTGGTACAGTAAGCATTGGGACTCTCTGTGTTTAGAGACAACATAAACAGATTGTGAAATACCTCATTTAGTGTTCTTGACACTTGTCTGTCATCTTGATAAGGGGAAAATATTGATATTGCTGAGGGCATGAATCTCTTTTCTGTGACTTTTATATCTTCACATTAGTCATACTAGCCTATGGTGGCCATCTCAGGTTTGTGTTTACAGTCAGTAAGGTCACCAGAGGATGATTGATTTAATCATAAGGTAAGTGCAAATGAATTACTTTTGGAAGAAGAGCTGTGTAGACTAATGGTCAAAGTTATTGTTCTCCATTTTGATGGTGTTTCTTCTTATTTTGTCTCATCATTATGTAAGAATACATGTTTGTAGTATGATAAATATTTAAGCCTTGTAGTGATAGCACTTCGGAATGTTCATAAATGACTGTGAACAGTTTGGGTCAGAAGAGCCCTACAAATTTGCTAGTTTTGTGGTGGAAGAAAATACTATTTTAGAGTGGTATGAATTTGAAAGACTAAAGTTTGTCACTTCAAATGAATGTGTTTGAAACATAATTTATGACTTCTAGGTAGATTTAGGAAAACTCTGCACCATTTTTTCATACCATATCTGAACGAAAGCAGTCCAGGTGTCCAATTCTCAGTCTGTCAAGGTCCCTCTGCATGGCAACAAAATCATCTGGTGTATCAACAACTCCTCACAGTTTTGTATCATCTGCAAAATTCCTGAAGGTACACTCTGCCCTGCCCTCTGCATCACTAACGAAGATGTTAAATGGTATTGGTCCCAGTATCAACCACTGGGGTACACCAGTAGTGACTGGCCTCAAGATGCATTTTGTGCTGCTAATGACATCCCCTTTGAGCCTGGAGTTCAGCCAGTTCTCAGTATACCTCACTGCCTGTTTATCTCATCCATGGTTCATCAGTTTATCCACGAGGAAGTTATGAGAGGCAGTATCAGAAGCCTTGCTAAAGTCAAGATAAACAAGCCTTCAGGGACATCAGCCAGCTCACTCAACATTTGTGGTGCATCCCATCAGGTCCTATAGACTTGTGTAGGTCCAGTTTGTTTAAATGTTCCCAACGTGATCCTTCTCTGCCAAAAGTTGTCTTCCTTGCTCCAGATTTTTCCTCTGGTCTGAGAGGCCTGGGATTCCTGAAGGCAAATCCTACCATTAAAGGACTGAGGCAAAGACACCACTGAATTCCTTGATCTTTTCTACATTCTTTGTCACCAGGTCCCATACCCCGTTTAGCAGCAGGCACACATTTTCCATACCTTTCCAGTTGCTGCTGATAAACCTGTAGAAGCTCTTTTTTGTAGACCTTCATGTCTTTCACCAAATTTAAATTCAGAAGAGCTTTGGCTTTCCTAAGCCCAACCATGCGTGCTCAGACAAAGTCTTTACATTTTTCCTGAGTGTCTCATCCTTGCTCTAAATTCCTGCATGCTTTCTCTTTCTGTTTGAGTTTATCCAGCAGCTTTGTGTTCATCCCTGCAGGCCTCCTGCCATCTTTGTTTGGTTTCATGCTTACCAGGAAGGGCCATTCTTGAGCTTGGAGGAGGTGATCCATGGAAATAAGCCAGCTCTCCTGGGCAAAATCGTTTCTCCAGTGCTGTATCCCATGCAGTGCTTCCAACCAGATCCCTGAACAAGCCAAGTTAAAACTCCCAAGCAAAATCTTTTTTGTAAATCATCTTGTGGCTGTGTAGTCAGAAATATGCTTTTAAAATTGCATGTTTTCTAGGACTATTAGAAGTGCATGATTGTGTGAACATCAAAAGTCAAGAAATACAAAATTTTGCATATCCAAAAGTTTGCTACTAGTTGTGAATAGTTGGAAAAGGTGAGGTTTTGATTTTTTGCTTTAAAAACTAGGGCACTAATTACTGTTCTCTTACCTCAGATTAATTCTCTAAGGCAAAATTACAGAATCTGTTACTTCATACCTTGAAGCATGTCAGATAATGCAGTGCAAGCAAGCAGGCTTAAACAGTGACATGAATTTGATTTGCCAATAAGAAGATAAGCCCCATTTTGGTTAAAAAAACAGAATGAAAAAACTAGGATTTTAATTTAGCAATCTTTTAGTAATGCTTCCTGCTACAGACTAATAAATGTGAATTCCTGACTGCCACATAATCCAGATTCTGCAAACACAGAATTCTCTTTCACACTGATTTGAGACAGAGGTAACTCAGTTGATTTCAATAGACCTGTTTCTGATCGACACAGGTGTAAACAATACTCTTTGTCTTTTCTCAGCCATGGCCTTTGACCCAAATTTCTTACTGCTGACCAAACTGAGACTTCTAGTGAGGATCAATGACATAACATGATAATCTTGCAAAGATCTCCTGTGCTTGACTGCTTTGAAAATAAACTTAAATGAACAATTAAATAAATAAAATTAAAATGAACAATGCAGTAGGTGTTCCAGAAAATAAGTATATAGTTTAAATGTAGACCAACCAAGTACTATTCCCTAGTTTAAGAGGAAGACATATCATGATTTTCCAACAGACATTAATTTGGGGTCCAGCTGGAATTAATATTACTCTCTTGTCTTGGATATTTCGGCTGTTGACAATTAAATATGTAGACTTGGGTATTAAGAACTTAGCATACCTCTTGACATTTTAAAATTGCTAACAGAATTTAAAGGTTAAAATATTACTATGTGACTTGGATCAAAGTTGCTGTTACAGCTCATGATAATTCTCATTCTGATTCTGCATCCACTTGAATGAAATTTCAGGGTTTAAAGAAGTTTTCTGTGGATTTTAGTGATGTGTCAAACAGCTGCTCTCTTACTGCCTTGAAAATTGTGGAAGAGTTTGTCTTCTCTAGACACACAAAAGAAGCTGAAAGAGGACAGTGAAAGATGATCTGCCTCAACTGGCTTAGATCTTCCATGATGAAAAGAGAACAAAGCACGAGGCTCAACATGGATGCAGTCACCTGTCCTGTGGGTGGTTGACATGGCAATGTCATCCAAGTCCCTGTTAGATGGACGTGAAAGGCTTTGACCAGGAAAGGACTCTACCCAAAATGAAGAAACTTTGCTTTACAGACACAATTTTAGGATGCCATGGTAGGAGGAAACTTAAGGGCTCTCTCCAACCTTGCCTCTCTCCCCAGGGCAGCTGCACAGCACTGAGCAGAGTCTCACATTCCACTCTAGCTGCTGCCTGAGGGCCCTCCTCAGGCCATGACATCTGCTCTTTGGTGCTTGTCATTATTGAGTGATGTAAAGCAGTGTGTGATGGAATGTGAAGTGGCTCACTTTGGCTCATCTGTGTGCAACCTCCATCTGCCTTCTGGTCCTTTACACAGAGTGAATTTAGAGAGATGGGCATTGAACCTCATTTTGAGAACATTTCTGACAAGGTTATTGAAAAAACTGGTCTTACACAGTTTTCTCAATAATATTAAGATTTGACAATTTCAGATATATTTCTAAATCAAATGCGGTGGGTTTTATGATTTTAATTTTTTGTACTAGAATTGTCTATGCAGTTCCTATTTGTGTCTTTTTACTCATAATAAAGAAATATCTGATGGAGTGGATTTTGGGAAAACAAATGTTTAAATCAATTTAATGTACTTTTTTTTTTTATTGCATATAAACACTTCACTTCAACTATTAAACTCAGGCTTAAATAACATGCAGCATCAAAACTCAAAGGCTCCTTAATAGAAACCTTCCCAAACAAGATTCCTTAGAGGGGACTTGAATTAGATTTCTTAGATGAACTTACTGAACAGATATATGTGGTCCTAGCTGCTGAGATACCAAATATATCAATAGAAGACTGAAGCAGGCATTGAATCTCTATGGAAGTTTTCAGTTTGGAGAAAGAAAAGTTGTGCTACCTAATTAAAGGATTTTTGGAGATTTTTGTTATGTGTTTCTGATGAAATGTACGTATTGGTTCTTCTGGTCAGTTTTGGATTACCCATACTCAGGTATACATTCATAATAATATCAATGATACTCATGCAATGAGAAATTCTTTTAACCACTGACAGCCAATTCTTTGCAGCTGCGTTTTAAAACTACAGAGTGAATGCCACATTTGTTTTACACAGCCTGTCAAATTGACATTTGCTTTATTAAATTTGGAAGCTTAAGATTACTTTTGTTCAGTAGTTTCACATTCACATTGAAGCCCACTATTCTGATTATATGTTGTACAACTGTAATTACTTTGAGACACAAATAAGACCAATTTTTTTCTTTATTTTTGTCATTCACTATATAACTGTCCAGATTTTTAAATAATACAATCCAGCCTAGGTTAAATAAAGTCAGCAAAAGTACTCAAATGCATGCTACCAGAAAATTGCTGAAAACTTCTGAGACAAGATTATTTTTCAAACAAGTATCATTAGTCCTTCTCATATGTATAAATCTGGGGGGTTACTGTTACAGATATTACCTGAGTGTGCAAGTAGTTCAAATCAAGAAGCACAGTGTAACTGAGCTGAGAAAAGACCGAACAGTTTTGTTAAGAGTTTGACCCAGGTGCCCAAGGCAATGATCACTCTTCATGTTGGAAAGTTAGAGATTCCTCAGTTCTTTCATACTGATGAAATGTAAAAAAAAAAAAAAAGTCATTCCTCTCTGACCCCAAGAACAATTTGAAACGCCATACTTAATAGAAATCAGTCTATACAGTCTAACAAGCAAACACTGTGGTTTTTAGCTTTTGAAAAGTACAGTCTTCAATTTAATTGAGATTATTTTCATACCAGGTAGTAGTGGGCTACTTATGTGTAAGATAAAAGGCCCAGGAAATAGCAAAGATTTGGCCTCATGAAAAGTCATTTTTGATTTTGCATGTATATGGAAAGTTCAGTTCTCCTGAGGTGTTCATTCAATTGTATCACAATTAGAAACTTCTGCTGAAAAAATTCTCAGGGACATCTTCTATTGACTTCATGGGTCAAGAAGCATAAAAATGAAAGATAGCATTCTAGACTTGACAGTGA